TATACCCTACTTTGCAATTAATATACATATTGCAATTATATACATGTTGCAATTATATATCCTACTTTGTAATTAATATATCCTTGTTTTGTTTAATTGCACTCAAGTACTTATAATTTCCCCTACTTTGCACTTTGCCTTAAAGTACCCTATATAAGTTGCAATTATATACCCTATACATGTTGCAATTATATACCTTATACATTGTGCATTAAGTGGTAGAAGAATTGGATGCGTACCACACCCAAGATTGATTTCCAACCACACAAGAAAATGAAGGCTCTATATAGCTAAATGTACTGCAGGGTTATACAAAACTATATATAACTAAATGCACGGCGTGTTAGTTTATTTCACATTAATGCATATTCTTAAGCAAGTTTAAAGCTTTTAAGATGCAACCCATAAATAAAGACTCAACATATATGTATTGCAGTATAGAGTTTCAAACATTTTTTTTTTATTTTAGAAATATTAGGACTCGTTTGATTTAATATTGTACGCATAGTATTATATTTTCTTGCCGTTAAGCAATATTACTCAAAACGTTATTCTCCTTGCAGGTTCTTGATTTTGCAGTCTTACCTGAACCAGAATACGATCTACCAATATTTTGCGCCAACTTTTTCACGACTGCTAGCCTAAGCATAGTGGTCTTGTGAGTTATATTAGTTTTTAACAAGTCTTTTTTTCATGCGTGCTAAATTTGGAAATTAACTTCCAGTTTTTGTTCAAGATATTCTGATGGCAATGATGCACTTGGACCACCACTTTTCTCTGAATTATTTGAAAATATTCATGCATTTTGGCACTAGACTCAAATAACTAAGTGGCATCTCCCGTAGTGAAGCTAAAGGAAGAGAGGTTATGAACTAGATATAGCTTTAGTGTTAAGAGTTATAGTTTTAGTAGTTTGTTACCCGTGTTGCACTGGAATTAAAGAGAATTAATGATGGCTGGGTGGTGGGTGGTTGTGGTTTTGGAAAGACCGGGGGCGGGGCGAGGCGGGCCGGGGGGAAGGCGGCAAAGTAATGAGACCGATCAATTCGATAGTATGATGTAGAGATAATGATGCATGACATATGATTTATGACATATGACATATGAAATCTGAAAAACCATATGTAATAGGAGAAAAAAATGGATATTGTTTCCAAAAAAGTAAAATTAAACAACTGTCATTTGTATGCCTGCAAACAATATGTTTTGCATATTTCAACTGTTGTTAAAGCTGTTCCTTTTAACCATTTGTTGTTTTAGCCTTACAGAGATATTCTACAACTAACACCAATACACAAACACATGCTCAAGTATACTTCCCATATCCACATCATATCTATATCCGAAGGGTAGCCACTCGTACCTCTATCTTGTCGTCATCGTGGATTTACTCTCATAACACAAGATAGAGAATTTACAATTATCAAATAATTTCAATTTGACACATGTATTTTCATCCTTACATATAGGAATATTTAATGGATATACATATCCAGTAAAATACATAAGCACATATGTTTGCGTACACCCATTCTGTTTGCACCAATGTAACATGACCATACTCGAAAGTATGTGTTAAAAAATTGACTCATGAATAAGGAATTTAGACGTTCTCAACATCTCTCAATAAATTGATTTCCGATGGTTATTCAGACCAATAAACAAAGGGCTAATTGCACTAGACCATGTATTACTGCATTGCGTTACTTATTATCGCTTAAGTACAATATTGGGAGAGGCACTCCCTGAGTGAATTTTTGTTTGGCTCTTTTACCTTTATTAAATGCTTTGCTTTAGGTTTGTTTAGACCTTATCTAAGTTATAAAAACTTGTAATTGTATACCTTCACTTGTTTAGATCATTTGGATGTGTAACAACTAAATATATTATGTGAATTAATATTATTTGCAATCCTTCATGATGCCTTATTGACTATGTTTGCTTTATTTTGTTCCATGTATATTACTTGATTATTAAAATTCTCTTTTAATCTTAATGTATAGAGAGCAAGCCAACAAAATACACTAAACAGAGGCAAAAGAAAGATGCTCTACCGCACGGGTAGTAAACCCTTTAGACAAATTGTGTGACAATTGATATACATTCAAAACTAATTTCCTATTTATTTAAAACTACTTTGTGTTTTTAGTTTGACAATGTACTCATTTTTATTTAATATTTGAATAAGGGTGGCAAGTCAAGAAATCCACCTGATGTGGAAAAAATGTTCTATGAAACCTGAAAGAAAGCTAATGAAACACTAGATACTGGGGATCAAGATAAATATGTAAGTAGAATGTGTCTTTAAGTTTGATAATGATGCATTATATAGTATTCACATATGAATTTAATTTTTATAGGATGAAATTGTTCAAGTCAAACTAGCAAACCCTTCACTTTCAGACATTGCGATAGTTGAGAAAAACTAGGGGAAGCAATCTTATGGTCACATCATTGTATTTAGTGGTGGGACTATTTTGAAAGATTTGAGAGGATCGCTCCCTAGTCGATCTGATCTGGAAGCACGAGTTATAGAAGAAAAGAGAGAACCAGATGTTTCAACAACGCTTAGATGAGCAGGAGTAACATCAACATCAATAACAACATCAACAACAACAAAGGATGTCTGACTTAGAGTCACAAATGAAAGCTATGCAGGAATTTTTTTAGGCAATCATCTTCATTAACTCCTCAAACTCGAGAACATGTGCAGAACTAGGTAATTATTTTTTGTAAAATCTCTTATATACTTTTATGATTGACTACTTGCACTAGAGAGAATACGATTTTTACTTAATAAGATAATATTTGTTTTAACTAATATTTCTTAATTATGTGATTTTTTTTTAATTTTTCAGGCTATCCATGCAAGATTAGGAGGGGGTTACTCGAGTCTTCTTTTGACGATGATTAAAGATGAAAGATGTGTCTTTCTCAGACTTTTATTTTAATTTGTTTTAGATAGTTTCATGTATTTTTCTTTGTTTTAGATAGTTTCATGTATTTTTCTTTGGAACAATTGGGATATTAACTCTTGTTATTAGTATTGAATATTTGAGGATGGTGAAATTTTATTTATTAATGTTATTAATGAATGGAGTTTTTATTTACCCTTTTATTCATTATTGGGTAATTTTAATATCTTTGTGGTGTGAATCTTAGTGTCATGTTGAGAATAATATATGATAGTTGCCAAATGAATGGAAGGTTGTTCTATTGAAATGTATGATTAATAATTATATATTCTACCAATATCGGGTATTATAAACCGCTATTTTGTTCCTGCAACAAGCGAAGAAAAACACCATCGTGACTGGAATACTAATTACCCATCATGAGGAAGCGGGAATGAAAACCGTTATATTAAAGTAACGACGGGACAAATATTGCCCAGGTAAACTAATGATAACCGACGGAAAATATCCCCGTCATTATAAGCAAATAATTGGTAACAAAGAGAAAATATCTCGTCACTAATGTTAACGACGGAAAATATCCCGCACTAATCCGGTAACGACGGTAATATGTTCCTTCGTTATAGACTCTATAACGACGGGTATTATAACATTCGTGCACCCATTTAGGCGAGAGAGGCTTCAACCGACGTTTGTGACGAAGGGATTTTTTTCCTGTCGTTAGCAGACAATGGAACGAAGGTTTTTAGCTCTCTTAAGAAGGGGGAATCCTTTGTTAAAAGACGTAATTTCTGTAGTGGAAGGGAATGAAAAGGCACTATTTTCTGAATATTTTATAAAATAGGTTTTTTGAGTTTAAATTAGGCAATTTTTGGAAGGGATTTTCAAAAAACTTTTCCTTAGTCAGCTTTATATGTTTTTATGTTGATGTTTATTTATTATATAAAAGTATACTGAGTACTTTAAGTACTTAATCTCTATTTTATTAAATTTTTTAAAGTGTATCAAGGATTAAGGAACAAATTCTATATTATCTTTTGCTGGTCATTTTAGCTCACTTTTTAACAATTCATCTTGGTCTTATGACGATTTATATTATTCATTTTCCTTTTAGAAGCGGCTATTTTTTGAAGTATTTTATTTTTTACAATGCTAATTTTTCTCAGGTCAAGCTTGGATTTCATGTTGGTCTCAATGACAGATATATGTCAAATTTTTCGGATTAAATACTTTATTTCCTGTGTCAATTCAATTATCAATTAAAAAATTTAAATTGGTAAGTAGTGTTCATTATAAACGAATATTACAGAAAAAAATAATGCACTCAATGCTAAAGATTTAGATAATATAAGTAAGACAAAAACTCATCAATGTAGAATCGAGAACAAGTTTTAGTAAAGGAAATAATCAAATATACTTAATCATCAATATTTGACCATGTGTATTTGCACGTGCATGAAACTAGTAAAATTCAGAAAGCATTGATGCACTAAAATCAATAAACAGGTTAATACCAGAAAAAAGTAGATTAAAATCCAATCCGATAAAGAAAATTAAAAATTATTAAGCCTCACAATTTACTTTTAGGAAATTTAGCAGGAACTTTCCCCTGTCTAGATAGTACGGTGCCTACAGGCAATAATTGTATAATTGTAACAGCGACTATAATGGAATATAAGCATACCTTTTTTAAAATAATATAGTATGGCTATTTGGTGGGAACGGGTCAGATATCTGGTATTTTCAATCAGATAAAGTCCTTAGAATTATACTAGACATTAGACATTTCGATATTTAGATCGTAATGAAGAGATTGGATTTGTCGGCTAACGTAATATTCTAAATATTCCTAGTCGATGAAGTATTGAAATGGACATCATCACTTTGGTAGACTAGTGTATACTCTATTTCTCCTTTTGGAAGCGACGATGATCCATTCTTAGATCTTGAATGTAAGACATCACAGATACAGTATACTGTAACTCATACTGTAATGAGCCTTAACTGAACGACTCATCGGAGAACATCTAGATTGGTTGATAATATACTGTAACTTCAAATAGAAGTTCTTAAGTGATATAGTACATAGTAGTCTCATGACCATGAGGCATGAGTGCATATCTTTACATGTCAGTATAGGTCGCTACTTAGACTTTTACCTAAGCCACAGTTTTCTCATCGATTGTGCATAAGCGGTTCTTATGGATACATCGCCGCAGCTATAAGTTAGAAGTATTGAGATGCCAAGATGGGATTACGTCTCTCCAGTATAGGGTTGATGTCATAAGATTGGTATTGATATAACTATAACCTGGATAATCCTTGGCCGGAGGTAAATAAAGATAACTGATTGTCACTTTGGACTCTATAGGTTATGAAGTTAATATCAACAAACACTAATGAGCAATTAGGGTTTGACCGTTTTTCCATACCCTAGGCTTAATAGTTTGACTATGGTTTGACGAAGAGACCGGACTGTAACGGCATTATCACTGAGTGGTCCTGATAAAATTTGTTCGTAGAAGCCTCTTGCAGACATGTTATAACATAACTTATACCCGGGTAAGTTTTCCATGTGAGCTGAGCACTCTGATTTACTTGTGGATATGATCCACTGCCGAGTCTCTTAAAGTTGGGGCCCTAGAGTCACACCAACCGCGCGTACTTGAATCCTAGAAAATAATTTATAGAGTATGTGTATGATTTAATACACATTACATGTTTTCACCGAATAGCACATCAAACGGTTATATGTCATCGGGGTGGAAATATCAGAATTGCTATGTTGGCTTAAGACATGCAATTCACAGTATTTTCCCAGTAAAGTTAACTTTTTAGTCAACTTGTTGACTTTTTGGTAACAGTTGACTTTTGCGTAACTATTGATTTTTTGGGTCATATGAATGACTTTAATTAATTAATGATTGGAAATTATAGAAATAGCCGGTTTTGATGTGGTATTTTCATTTATGAAATACCGAACTTTCAATTAACCCTATGATTTAATGAGTCATGAGATGGTCATTAAGGTGGATATGGTTTGGGAACATGGTTTTAGCAACATAGTTTTGATTCTTTCAATGACTTCAT